GCTCCTGCACCCTGGGTTTGGCTCCTGCACCCTGGGTTTGACTCCTGCACCCTGGGTTTGGCCCCTGCACCCTGGGTTTGGCTCCTGCACCCGGGTTTGACTCCTGCACCCTGGGTTTGGCTCCTGCACCCGGGTTTGACTCCTGCACCCGGGTTTGGCCCCTGCACCCTGGGTTTGGCTCCTGCACCCTGGGTTTGGCTCCTGCACCCGGGTTTGACTCCTGCACCCGGGTTTGGCTCCTGCACCCAGGTTTGGCTCCTGCACCCGGGTTTAGCTCCTGCACCCGGGTTTGGCCCCTGCACCCGGGTTTGGCTCCTGCACCCTGGGTTTGGCTCCTGCACCCTGGGTTTGGCTCCTGGTCCACATGGCATCATGCACCCCAGGTCTCCCGCTGTGCTGCAGAGCACCCAGCTCCGGCCTCGCGCACCCGCTGCAGCCGCTCCACACGGTGCTGTGCACCCCATGTCTCCCGCTGCGCTGCACTGATGGCCGCCGCGAGCACCCCAGCTGCTGCGCCAGCACCGCGCGCAGCCGGTGCAGCTCTGCATGCAGCTCCGCGTGCAGCCGGTGCAGCTCTGCATGCAGCTCCGCGTGCAGCTGGTGCAGCTCTGCATGCAGCTCCGCGTGCAGCTCTGCATGCAGCTCCATGTGCTGCTCCACACGCAGCTCCGTATACAGCTCGGTGTGGAGCTCTGCGTGCAGCTCCATGTGCAGCTCCGTGTGCTGCTCCGCACACAGTTCCATGTGCTGTTTCATGCATAACTCTGCACACAGCTCTGCACACAGTTCCATGTGCAGCTCCATGTGCAGCTCCATTTGCTGCTCCACACACAGCTCTGCGTGCAGCTCCAGATGCAGCTCTGTGTGCAGTTCCATGTGCAGCTCTGCACACAGCTCCATGTGCTGCTCCATGTGCAGTTCCATGTGCAGCTCCATGTGCAGCTCCATGTGCAGCTCCATGTGCTGTTCCATGTGCAGTTCCATGTGCAGCTCCGCACACTGCTCCATGTGCTGCTCCATGTGCAGTTCCATGTGCAGCTCCATGTGCTGTTCCATGTGCTGTTCCATGTGCAGTTCCATGTGCAGCTCCGCACACTGCTCCATGTGCTG